AACCATCTCAAATCTAAAATGAAGAACAAGACATATGTTGAAGGGTCGATATGTGATGCATACTTGATTAAAGAGACAACACAGTTCACTTCATTTTACTTTGAAGATAATGTACAAAGTAGGAGGACACGTATTGGTCGAAATTTGAATGATGGTATAATAGACCCGGATTTGCCTACAACCTTATCCATTTTCAATCGACCAAGTCGTCCAATCGGGGTGAAAGGTCAAAGATATTTGGACACCAAAGAGCGATTCACAGCTCATCAATATATATTACTAACTGTGAAGATGTTCGGCCAATTTTACGGTATGCACTATGTCATTGTAGGTTGTAAAAATGTGTTGATTGTGTTTTGACTAATTACAAATTTTGTGTCTGTAGGTTGTATGAGACAGTTTTACGCCAGTATAATCCAGGTGCCACTAATTGGGAGATTGACCAGGAAGTTGAGAGGAGTTTTGCAAGTTGGTTCAGAGATTATGTAATATGCTTTTAAAAACTTTCCTTTTATGAATATCTTTTTATTCATATATGCTATAAATATCTTTTAACAATTGAACTTGACAGGTATACAATCCTACAAATAATGTGGGTAACCAATCCTTGATTAATTTGGCATGCGGCCCACTAATGCAAGCTACTACATATAACTGGTATGTGGTTAATGGTTTCAAGTTCCAAACTAAACAACATTGTATGAGAAAGTCGAAAAATAATTTTGGAGTATCCATAAAGGGAACAAGTTTGTCACATGGCGATTCACTTTTCTTTGGCACTTTGAAAGAGATTATTGAAGTGGAGTATCCAAATATTCCATTAAAGAAGGTGGTGCTTTTTAATTGCGAATGGTTTGACCCAACCCCAAATACAGGTACAAAATTGAATTCTGATAGTGGTCTTGCGGAGGTTCATTCTAGGAAACGGTATAGGAAGTATGATCCTTTTATAATTGCACAAAATGCATGCCAAGTGTGTTATATTCCATATCCTAGAAGTATACAGGAAAAATTGAATTGGTGGGTTGTTTTAAATATTAGACCAAGAGGAACCATCGATAATGCTTATAAGCACACTGAGACTTATCAACAAGATAACATACATGTGCTAACAACTGATGTGAGTGTAGTTGAAGAGGAGGCTGAAGAATTATTGCATGTTCCACTTGTTTTGACTGAAGTTGAAGTTGACTCGATTGGAGGTCCTGATGGGCGAGATGAACAAAATGAAATAGAGGATGATAGTGAAGAAACTGATCAAGAAGTTGTTTTTGAAGATACTGATGACGGAGAAGATGAGTGATTGGTCCTATGACTCTTTTTTTATGTTATTTTTATTCTACTTTTTATGTTTTTTTAGACACATTATATTATTATTATTATTATTATTATTATTATTATTATTATTATTATTATTATTATTATTATTATTATATTAATTATTAATAAAGAATAAGATAAAAAGGGGAGAAGTCACTACTGAGCGCAATTTTGGGAGGCAAAATGTAAACGAGCGCTGCAAGGCAAAATCTAGGGAGAAAATCTCCCGCTTAAAGTGCAAAATCTAGGGCTAAAACATTCTGAGCTTCTTCCTAAAGAGTTGAGAAGACATCAACGGTATTGTACATAATGTTATCTGGTTGGCAAATGACTTTTATGCTAGAGAGTGATATAATTGCTAGCTATTCTCCTCCAGCCCCTGGAGAGTGATATATTTATCTATTTCTGCAACTGAACTTTAAGGAACCATTTAGTTTTCTGCAACTGATCTTGATCTGGTTTGCATTGAACAGTCCATTTCAATTGTTTGCAATCTATTTCATTGTTTGCAGTCTATTTCATTGTTTGCAGTCATATAGTTTTAAAATATATTGGTAAACAAATACCTTAGCTGTTTGCTGGCCAATTTCATTGTTTGCATGTGAACCACATAACTTTCCCTATGTTTGACAGATTGACATTAAAAACTTCAACAATCTTGACAATAATCCTTTCATCATAAATCTGCAACTGATCTTGATCTGGTTGGCAGATGTATATTTAATTTTAACCATTTAGATGTCCTAAGGATTTGGCATAAATGTAAAGCATCCTTTAGAGTTGATAACAAGACTACTGCAATACACTATGTTAGAAAAAAAGATTCTTATATGTGTATATATCTGTTAGATGTCCTATTCTTATTCTTCTTTATCCCTTGGCAACATTCTATTCCTACCACCCAAATCAGACCTCTCTTCTCTTTCTCTTCTTGTGTAGGTAGAAGTGCATTTAATATTGTATTTTATTAATTGCAGTTGACTGTCATCCTGTGGTGCTATATAGATGTCTAAACATAAAAGAATAGAGGGAGTAAAAGGAAGACATGTACAAGTACTCAATCACAACTTCACTTTTCACAATCGCCATCATTGCATCCAGTAATTAATGGCTCGGAAGAAGAAAATAAAGTGACAACAGAAAGTAATGAAGTCATAAGGCATTTGCATGACACTGATTCTAAGCGTACTGCCTCAGCTTCCAGGGAGAGTGAGCATATTTTTGAAGCAGCGACTGAGCATACTTCTCAACCGACTTCTGAGCCATCAGATGTTCCACCAAGCACGATTCCAAATGACCGTATGACTCTGATTCACCCAATTGGCGGAAGAGCGTAAGTACTATACATTTTCACATATATTATATAAATGCCATAAAACCTAACATTGCATTATAATTCAGATTTGAGCCTCATTCAGCACATCGTGGGATCATCGATTGCATACAAAAGGCATACCCGCAGGCTATAAAATCATTTAAGGTTGCTCCTCAATATCTGAAGGACGTGTGATTTAATGAGTTTAAGGTAAACATTTTAGAAGAGTTTGTAATGGCATTAAACAACTGGACATATGTATATTAATTTTGTAGAGAAACTATATTAATTCCCATGCACTCATATCTATTATTTCATGTTACTTACCAAAACATATAATTTACCTAATGATCAGCTGATCTTTATCTTTGCTTCTGCTGTTTATACTAGTATATTAGATGGCCTTCCTCTGCAATTTTATAGGCCTCTCCTATTTATACTTTATACTAGTATATAAGCTAAAACTTTGTCTGAGTTAGCACCTCATGTTATTCATCTTTGAATTGTATCTTTATACTAGTATATCTGCTAAAACTGACCTCAATATCTGAGTATAACTAAGCAGAAATGAAAGATGAATCTGACTCAATAAAACATTACTTGACTTTGCTAATTTAGAGTTTTGATGATTATAGAAACATTATAGATGGGATCTACTAGAGGAGAATACTGTATGCCGCATCTTTGAGAAAAGAGGTGCAAAGCTCCTTACAGACCATCTGACAGTGGTTCGTGTGGGCTTGACAAAAAATAAAACCAAACCACATTGGATTCCTAATGATGTGCTAGATGACTTGGTCCGCATTTGGGAGAGTGATGATTTCAAAAAGCTCTCGGAGAAAAACAAGATTAATAGAAATTCAAATTCTGGAGGACTAGATGCATCACTACACAGTTGTGGTTCTATTCCTATGACAGAACACCGCAGAAGATTGGTAAGTTTGAAGAAAAAAAATTAAAATAGCTTATCTTATAAAAGTATACTAAATATGTTGTATTATTCTTGAATAGAAAGAAAAATTTGGAAAAGATCCAAGTATTGTAGACTTGTATCAACACACTCATAAACGGAAGAATGGAGATGGAGCATATGTTTGTCCAAAAGCTCAAAAAGTTGTGGTAAGAATCTTTGTAATATAACCTCTATTAAAAGTGTCACATTGAATTATTTTAGTAGATAAAAATACTTTGTTTTACTTTATAGGATACAATGAATGAACTATGACAGACTCAAACTGATGTATCAGATGTAGAGCTGTGGTTGGAGGTCACCGGTGGTGTAAAGAGGGGAGGGAACATATATGGCTTTGGCTCGGATACGCAATACTATTTTCCTGAAGCTTCAAAGAAATCAAAATCTCAGGCTGGAGCATCATCTTCAAATGCAACTTTGATGGCAGAAATTCAACAAATGAGGGAAAAAAACAAAATGTTTCGGGAAGAAAACAAGATTATCCGAGAAGAACTTGAAAAAAATGGGTACTATATTTGCACAGTTCAGTGCAAATCCTGAGTTCTTAAGTTCTTTAAACTTGAACAACTCCAGCTCACTAAATGATGAAACACAAGCTACTTCTGATGAAGATTAAGTACTTGATGTTTTTATGACTTTTTTATGTGTGTATGGCTGAAATTTTGCATTTCCTCATTTTTAATCAAATTAACTGCAATATCCAACTGATGAAATGGACTGACTGATTCAACGATGATGTCTGTCAGTAAGGCAGATTATTGAGATGTTTATAGAAAGAGACAACGACACAAAGCAACACACAAGATGTTTATCCAGTTCTATACAATGTGTATCTACGTCTGGGGAACGATCACATAAGCGTCCAATCCACTAAATCATAATCCAATGTACAAAGGTAGAGAAACAACAATCTCACCCTGTTGAGGAAACAACTTCCTAATTCAGATCTTTAGTGTCAGTCCCTCTGTTGTTGTATCTGATTGATAAGTCCTCTGTGAGACAAAACCGACACTAAACTAATCCTATCTTAGTTTGCCATAATAATATTGCCAATTATAAGTTGGGGTTTTTTGAGCAATTAAAACACTAACAAACTCCCCCTTTGGCTATTAGTTGGCAAAACAACTCGACTACGTATAGAGACAAAAACTGAAAGAACTAAGATAGGCTAGCATAAAAACTAAACCAAATATCTGATTACAAAGCATAACAGAAATAAAGCACAACATACAAGTCATGCTGGATCAAAACATCAGTCATAAACATTCTTCAACCAAAAGAAGTGGTGCCATCACAATCAACGCCCAGCCAGGGCCAGAAGGTACACAAAAACACATAAAACTCCCCCTGAGTTCATACTCCCCCTTTTTGCCAATGATAGCCAAAGCATGGTCAAGCATTGGAGGGAGTCTCACTGTCAGATTTCGCAGGTTCAGCAGCAGCAGATTCAGACAAGCTTAAACGAAGAAGAACGGTGGCCAATTCAATACGAGCCCCTGTCAGCTGCCTCGCTATTATGCCATGAACAGTCTCAAGCTCAAAGACCCTTGCCTTCAACTGAATAGAGAGTTGGAGATCCCTTGCATGGGGCGAATCATCAGCCACTGTATCAGCTTCAGAATTGGAGGGAGCAATCACCGGTGTAACATCACAAATATTGTCTCCAGACAGAAGACGACGGTCAACCGTATAGAGCAGAGTCGGACTTATCACCTCACTTGGCATTGGCTCAAGGCCCTGAGTTGTCAGTACTCCAAAGATCATATTAGGGAAGGGTAGCCTTACCTTCTGTTCACATGGATGGATCAAGGTGAGGATATGATTATAAATCCAGGCCCCCAAATCAAACACTATTTTTGTTCCAATTCGAAACAAAAGACCTGCCAATTGCTTGCCCACGGTATGGAAATGAGCTGATGGAAGCCAGTTGTAAAGCGCAAGACGATGCAATATGACATATTTTGAGGTGAGCTGAGAGCTAGGTAGATAATCCTTATCACCAGAAGGCCATGTATCAGTCTGTCCACCAGTTAGGGTCTTGGCCACTGAATCCCAGCCAGTGATTGCTTCTTCGTGCACCGCTGACAAGCCATAGTATTCATTAATCATGTCAGGACAAAAAACGTACCATTGACCTCGAATGAAGATTTGCATTGGCCGTGGCCCAGTCAGATTGTCTATGTCTTCATTGAGATTACAGTAGAATTCATACGTGAGGAGCTTCGAATACGGACAGATAGAGGAGACAGTCTTCAGTAAGCCCACTTCACTCAGCAGTGGCAGGATGTTGCAAACTGAATTCATCTGGTTTTCATCAACAGACCGTTGAACAATGAGATCTCTCCTGACCATGGTGGACCATTTACCTTGAGCAGTGGATGTAACAAACTGAGGCTTATAAATAGATGTGTCAGAACTTTCAACAGGTTGAACCTCAGGAGTGATACTCCGACCTCGGAACGAGTAGTTGGTTTCCCCTTTCGGGTAGAGGATGTGGGGACAACAGCTGGTTGAGCAGCAGCAGGACCTTTTTGCTTAACAGACGACCGTAGTGTCTTGAACACTTGTTGAATTGGAGGATTAGCTTCAGGTTCGATAGACTCACTGGACTTTCTTCTCTTCTCAGGCTGATTTACAACAGCATTGTCATCACCCGTCTCAACAACAACCTTCACAGGAACATTCTTTCGTTTTGATCTTCTCGTCTCCTTGGATTGGGAATGAACAGGAGACACAGAGTGAATGGAATCAGGAACATGGGCAGAAGAACTTCCAAGAAGATTTGTGACTTCTCTAATTTTGAAGGTGGTGGAATCAGGATGAGCAGTAGCCTCAACAGTTGAGGGCTTAGGTGCATGAGCTTGTGAGCCATAGACTTCAACAAAGATCTTTTCATCTTCACTCGAGGACTCAGAAGGATGAATCACACGGTATGGTTCTGGAATGGAGGCAGCAGGTAAACCAGCAAAATGCCGGACATGTTCAAGACTTTCAGCCAAAGATGAGGAGGTGTAGACTGGGACTCCATCTATTCTTTCAGATGCATGGGCGCTTGAGTGTTTAACAGACTCAACTTCAACAGTCAAACCAGAGAGATTATCAGAGGGACAGATTTCATGTGGGACATCAGCAATCGTAGAAGGAGGCATAGCAACATGATCAGACGAGTAAACAACCAAACTTAGATTGTTGGTCTCCTCAGAGGGTTTATCTTTCGTATCAGACACAACATCAACAACTTCCTTTAAAGGCTCAGGCTTTGTAGAGGGTACGCAAGGGGGATCATCAGACACAGAGGATTTCACAGATAATAACTCATTTACATTATCAGACACAGTAGGCACAGCAGACGGAATATCAGCAGTTACAACATCATCAGGCTTATCAAGAGAAATTTCAATAGGAGAATCGGAAGAATTTGACCTGTTACGGAGAATCTCCATTCGGTGTCTGGCTTCATTCTCAGCAGCCTATAGGTATAGGGGTTGTGCAATTTCTCTACGACGCGAGATCTCTTCTGATTCAAGAGCCCTTTGTGCAAAATATTGGAGAAACGCTCCGGCCCGATTTCCATCTGAGGGCTCTGGGATAAATGCTGGAGAAATCTCATCACTAGCTTCGGAGGCCAGCAACAGGAGCTCACTGGTGTCATCTGCAGACCAGTCGGCGTAGAACTTTGGATAATCCGACATTACTGTGACCATAATCTCGTCACGAAGAAGGGGATCAAGCTTCAACTTTTTCTTCATAGCTAACTAGAGCAGGGTTTTGACATGCTTGGTGGCTGTCTCTTGTGAGTGAATCTTTCTCCCAAGCTTGATGATAATGTTACGAACAGCATCCGCCATTGATATGAAAAGAAGGAAGGCCGAGAAAGAAACCCTAGGTAGAAAAACAGAGAGAAATCAATCGGTGGGCAGAGATATTTTTTGAACTTCTTCATTCTCCCAAGCCTGACCAGATACTCAAATGTAGACCCAAGGGTGAAGTACCCTAATAAATGCAGCACGACAGATTACATGCAGAGCCGATGTGATTGACGCAACGGTATGCTTTCTTTTTAGGCAGGAAAACAGATACGGAGAGGATTTGAAATTTGAAAAAGGCGAATTACTTTATGGAAAAATAGGTTAAAATATTCTCTTAACAAAATAGAAGAGAGTTTTAAAAGGAAGTCAAAGCTGGTTATTGACCGGGAAACTTAATTCCATATACTCTCCTTCTGTATTACTTATTGCCTTATTAATCAATCCTGCAGATTCCTAGAGCAGATCTGAGAATCTCAAACCGATTTGCATCTAGGGGCTTAGTCAGAATATCAGCCAATTGCTTATCTGTTTGAATATACTCCAACTCAATCTCTTTTGATTCTACCAAGTCTCTGATGTAGTGATGTCTTATATCAATATGCTTTGTTCTGGAGTGTTGAACAAGATTCTTTGAGATATTGATAGCACTGGAATTGTCACAGTAGAGTGTCATAATCCCTTGAGTCAGACCATAATCTAAAAGCATCTGCTTCATCCATACCAACTGAGTGCAACATCCACCAGTAGCGATGTATTCTGTCTCTGCAGTACTTAAGGAAATTGAATTTTGTTTCTTACTCAGCCACGATACCAAGTTTTTACCAACAAAGAAACATCCTCCAGAAGTACTCTTTCGGTCATCAATATTTCCTGCCCAATCAGCATCACAATAAGCAACCAGACTTAATTCACTGTCCTTGGAGTACCATAGCCCATATTGAATTGTTCCTTTTATATATTTCAGAATACGCTTAGCAGCTATCAGGTGTGATTTTTTTGGATCAGATTGATACCGTGCACATATTCCAACACTGAATATTATGTCTGGTCGACTGGCTGTCAAGTACAGCAGACTTCCTATCAGACTTCGGTAGACTGTGTTATCCACTGATACACCTGTGTCATCTTTAGATACTTTTGTGGAGGTAGAGATAGGTGTCCTGGATGGTTTGCATGATTCCAGATCGACTAAATTCTTAGCATACTTTTCTTGTGAGATAAAGTATCCTTCAGGACTTTGCTTTACTTGCAGCCCTAGGAAATATGTCAGTTGACCAACCATGGACATCTCAAATTCTTCCTTCATGACTTTTACTAACTCATCAGTGTATTTCTGTAAAGTAGATCCAAACACAATGTCATCCACATAGATCTGAGCAATGGTGACATGACTTCTAGTGGCTTTTACGAAAAGCGTTTTGTCGACACTTCCTCGTTTATACCCGTGTTGTAGCAGATACGGTGTCAGTCGTTCATACCATGCTCGTGGGGCTTGTTTAAGACCATAGAGAGCTTTTCTGAGCTTGTAGACATGGGATGGATAATCTGGATCTTCAAAGCCTTTAGGTTGTGCCACATAAATATCTTCATGCAGATATCCATTCAAGAACGATGTCTTAAAATCCATCTGAAACAGTGTGAATCCCAGAATGCATGCGACTGTCAGAAGAATTCTGATTGACTCTAGTCTCGCCATAGGAGCAAACGTTTCATCATAGTCAATTCCTTCTATCTGAGTGTATCCTTGTATCACTAACCGTGCTTTGTTCCTTGCAATATTCCCAGCTTCATCAGTTTTATTTTTGAAGATCCACTTTGTTCCAATTATGTTGACACGATCAGGTCTTGGTACTAAATCCCAAACATGATTTCGGTCAAATTGATGTAGCTCCTCTTGCATCGCCTTGATCCACAGATCATCTTGTAAAGCTTCTTTTACATTTCTTGGTTTTATCTTTGAGGTATAGCAAGCATATCCGGATATTTCTATCAGATTATTTCTTACTCTGCTCCTGGTCTTCATCCCGTTTGTTGGATCACCAATGATGTTATCTGATGGGTGATTTTTCTGAGTTCTGGTGGGTTTGTCTTTACCCGTATCATTTATAGGGGTGGTCTCCTGTTCAGAACTTTCTTGATCTTCATCTGAGGATTCTTGTGTTTTGGGTTGACTGCTGTCATCGGCAGTATTCAGTTCACTTGGAGGGAGCTCAGTCTCTGGATCAGTCACTGTTGTTTCCACTGATTCGTCTGGATTGTCGTCTATAACCACATTTACTGATTCCATTACAGATTGAGTTCTCTTGTTGTAGACTCTATAGGCACAACTGTTTGGAGAGTACCCGAGAAAGATGCTCTCATCGCTCTTAGGTTCAAACTTTCCTCTTTGTTCCCTATCAATCAGCACATAACACTTAGTCCCAACACACATTAAAGTACTTCAAGTTTGGCTTCTTTCCCTTCCAGATCTCATATGGTGTTTTGGTCGTTCCTGGTCTAAGATAGACTCTATTCACTGTATGACAAGCTGTGTGAACTGCTTCAGCCCAGAAGCGCTGTGGTAGGTGAGAAGCATATAACATAACTCTAGCCATTTTCAGCAAAGTTCGATTCTTTCTTTCCACCACACCATTCTGTTGAGCTGTTCTAGGGGTTGAGAACTCATGTGATATACCATGCTCGGAGCAAAAATCTGAGTATAGAGAATTTTCAAATTCTTTTCCATGATCACTTCTCAGTCTTTGAATTTTTATTATAGGCTCGTTCTTTTCCTTTTGAACCCTTATGCACAAGGTTTTAAAGGCATTGAAGGTTTCAGATTTTTCTCTTAGGAAGTATACCCAGCTGTATCGAGAGAAATCATCTACACACACAAATATGTATTTCTTTCCGCCAATGCTTTCAGTCTGAGTTGGCCCCATGAGGTCTATGTGAACAAGCTCTAGACATTTCTCAGTAGTGATAACTCTTACTGCTTTGTGAGGAGTTCTTATCTGTTTCCCAATGGCACATGCACCACAAACTCTCTCCTGTTCAATTTTGATCTTTGGTACTCCTCTCATAGCTTCTAGTTTGATCAGTTTATCCATATCTCTGAAGTTTATGTGACCCAGTCGTCTATGCCAGAGTTTTGATTCATCAGATTTTGATAGGTGACAAGCATTTTTGTTTGTCAAAACATAACAGTTGTCTGAGGATCGTGTTCCTTCCATGACTAATTGATCTGCTTTGTCACTGACTCTGCAACAGTTACGATCGAAGCACACATTCCAGTTTTGATCACACAACTGACTGATGCTAATCAAATTTGCTTTCAGACCACTGACTAACAAAACTTCTTCTAAGTGAGGTAAACCTGGTACATTCAGGGTACCTTTTCCAACTATTTTGCCTTTTTGCCCGTCGCCATATGTAACAGATCCACTGCTAGATTGAACAGCCATAAGTCACTTTATATTTCCAGTCATATTCCTGGAACAGCCACTGTCGAAATACCATCTAGCTTCAGTTGTAGAAGCACTCAGAACTATAGTGGGATAACATATAACTTCTGACTTTCTGACCCAAACTTATCTCGTGAATGGTGTAATAGTCTTGTTCTGATATTTTTCCTTTCTTTGATCTCTGTAAAAGGAATAACATTCAGGTCGAGTGTGACCTTTAGTTTGACAGTAGTGGCAAATGGGAGTGTATTGTCTGACTCTGACAAACTTATTTTTGAACTTTAAGTACTAAGATTGAGGTTTTACTCTGCCGAAGTCATTATCTGCAGTTTGATCATATACCTTCTTTTTGTCAGTTTTCTGAACTAACCGGGATGACTGTCCTCGTTCAAAATTGTGAACTGATGTAGCAGTAGACATACCTTCTTTGATGAACATAGGGACACTATTCGAAGATTCTCCTCGTTCAAATCCAAGACCATTTTTATCATTTGGATTTCTACCAGAGTCCAGAATTTTGTCTAACGTTGATGTGGTATCCATCATCTTGATATTCTTCTTCAGATCTTCCAATTCCTTTATCAGTTTTCCTTCTCGAGATCTTATCTGTGTGATAAGATCTTCTTTTATGAAAAGATCTGTATTTAGTTTCTTCAGAAGATCATCCCTTTGCTTCAGTTCGTCATTCAGATTTTTATTGACTTTCACTAGTTGTTCCCAGCTTGCAATAAGTTTGGCAAATTCCATTTCAAGTTGAGTATGCCTCTCTTCAAAATCATCTGTTGATATATAGGATTCTCCATCGGATTCGTTTTCGTCTGACTGATTCTCTGTAGCTGTAAAGAAGGCTGCAAAGTTTCCCACATTGTCATCTGACTGATCATTAGAAGCTTCCTCCTCATCATCACTTAGTGTAGCCACAGACATAGCCTTCTTCCTTTTGAGATAAGTTTCACATTCCGCCTGTATGTGTCCAAAACCTTCACACTCTCTACACTGCACTGACCGGTTGAGGGGTCTTCGTGTATCTGTGGAACTGTTTCTGTTTTGTCTTGTTCGGCCAGTTTGGGATTGATTATTCTGTGGGAAAGGTTAGGTTTCTGCTTTCTGATATGAGGAGTTGCTGCCTTTGTATTGAGTCCTGGTAGATTGTCCTTGACTCTTTTTGTTGAATCCTTTCAATATTTTCTT